AATTGTTTTTATTTCTTTTTATGCCAATTGCTTTTATCTTTAGTAATTTAACACCACCTTCAAAACAATTTCACAAGTGACTACCTTAGTCTTAACAAATGCAAGGTGAAACATCTATAAAGCACTGTTATGCCCCAAAACTCGGTACAGAGCCATAACAGAGAAATTCGATAAAACGGCCCTTAGCGATTCGATGAAACGGCGTTCGATGAAATGTCCGTTCATTCGATAAAACGACTTTCTATAAAATGGCGAAAAAGTGAGGTTCAGGCTTGGTCGGAGATAGCTACGGTTACACTCGTACGCTTTTTCAGTTCTATCTCGCATATATAAGCTTCTTGCTCAAATAAACTTTGGCATCTGACTTTTCGCTCATCTTGGCCTTTAGCGCGACTGTTAACAAGTTCTAAAACAGTCAAAGCAAAAGTGATTTAATTAGCTCAGGATTATAGGTTGAGCGAAATATTTACAAAGTTCGAGGTTCCCTGAGTCGTCTTTTGTATTCAATCCGCCCCCCCCCCCCCTCACCACCACTTCCTTCCTCTAAATAAACAACGTAGGTTATTTTATGAACCACCAGTAATGGAGCGTACTCGCAAAACGTCTATTTGGCGTAAGAAAACGTAAGAAAGGCCTTGTATAAATGTTCGAGCAATGAACTGGTCTTCTTACTGTGCGTGACACAGCTAGCACGAACACCATATTGATATTTTTACGCAAGGGCCATGCAGAATTTAGTGTAGAACAAATTTATGCCTCGTAAGTTGGTGCCCAACGGAAGCACTCTTTTTACCGAATTGCTTGTTTAAAAATAACAACTTTTCAACCATAAAAATAAAACAAAATAACACCACTTCTTTGGGGGCCACTAAATTTACTGATTCACTCCGTTAGCATTGATTGTGCAGCGGTATGCGTACATTACGCGACACTGTTAGCGCAAACACGACATCGGCGCTTTTTGCTATTTTCCACAGCAATGTATCGACTGGCACTAAACTCTACCGCTTAGCTGGGATACTCGCATTAACAGTTTCCTAAACATCATTCAGTTCTAACAAGAAAAAAAAAAGTGGGAAACACCGGCGATTGTTTGTTTGTGCTAACTGCGTGGCGTAGGGTACCGAAAAGTTTTTTACAATGCTAAATACAATTCTGTGTCACGTTAAAAAAAATTGTCTGCTTTTGCTTTAGTTTCTTTGAGACACACAAATACTTCGAAGTGGCGGCCGTGCTATGGTACCAATACAAGCAACGTTGAACCATAACACGACACGTTGGACTCGCCAAAAAGGGTTTTAATATTGTCTTTTCCGCTCCATAGCCACACTCGATAAAGAATGTAAAGAGCGAATCTAGCTTACATTTCGTTCTGGGGTACGGACCGTACGGTTATCTAAGTGGCTAAAAGTGACCCACTAAAACTTTCTAAAATTGACATCCACCCTTGATGCCCTCTCACCTCAGGTGGTTGTTGGGAATGTGTAAATATGAATTTCATACATTTTGCTGGCCATCATGTTCCGCGAGTTAGGCACACAACAGGGCATTTTAGTAAATCGTTTTCAAAGGCCCGCTGCCACTTCAGGCGCGCGCTTCAGAGAATGCATCGAAGTGGCAGCGCGAGCCTCCGCTAAATATATGTGGCCTGAAAACATAGTCTGCTAAAGTTCTCCAATTATTTGTGCTCGCTGCTAGAAAACAGAGAACTTCTAGAAGATTCCCGCGCCTGGTGCATCGTTTTCTTTTCCATCGATCCCAATTTGAGGCAGGTTTGAGCGTGATAAGCCGTTTTTTTAAAGATGGAATGTTTTGTGAAGATGTAAGTCATCCTTACATATTGAAGTCACCACTTCTCGCGCATGTCTTTTGAGCTCCTTGATGAACCAAAAATATCCATGACACGTTCCTTCAATGGGTGCGGGAATGCATCGCAGCTCTCAAGTATGTGTTTATTTTGCCACAGGCTAAACCAAAGACCTTCGACAGCTGAAATTCGGTGATTGCAGCTCCGTAAAACCTACACCCGAGAAGCTAGGCTTGGTGAGCGCCAAAAAATGGGGCAGATTACGCGATAGGATCTGAAGCTACCTCTAAGTCACGAGGTCGCTGCTGCCGCACCCATCGCCCGTCGCTCAAAATGGGGATTTTCTCGGCTTATCCTCTCAGAAGAAGCCGCCGCAAAAGGGGACCTTTCCCCTCGCCTCGCCGTGCTACAATACAAGAAAGAAAGAGGGCGAGGAGGACTTTCCGCCAGGCGGAAGAATATTTCTGCTGGTCCGCCTTTAACTGCAGCAGCACCAGTAACTTGCGAGTCTGTGCTTGAAAAGGTCAAGATTTTTACGTCTCAGTAGTAACCACGTGAACTAGACAATAAATGACACTTTTAGACTGGCTCGAGAAAAGCTTACAGCACTAGTTTAAAAACTGAAACAAATGGGAATAGTACAAGCATATGACCGCGCGCCAACCGGTAGGCGAACCTCAGTTTTCGCCAAGACCCCTTTTAATTGGCCAATACCTTAAAAACTAAAACTACCTCGGGCTTACCGATAGCGCACTCCATTTCAAAGGTGCCAAAATATATTTTCGCGAAAGATAAAAGTATGTTCATAAAATCGTTGCCAAGCAAAGAAGAAAAGAAGAAAAAAAGAAAACAACCGTCAACAAGATGGCACGAATTACATGAAAAAGCGAGCAGTAAAACTTAACGCGAAGCTTTTATAGCCGAGCATTTCTCAGTAAACAGACAGCGGCAACTTTGCTAATTGTTTTGCTCTCTTCACGAGAAACGAAAATTCTGTGTGAGGTATTTTTCACCTTAAAGATTGCAAGGGGAAAATTGAGTATTGATTGAAAAATGTTCGACCGATTTCTTCCGTTCACTCAAATTGTGCATGCCTGGTAAAGGAACCGCAGTGCATTCCCTGGCTGATGACGCCCATCATGAAGGATTGCTAACGACTCCGACTCCCCAAACTGGTACGCTTGATTGTTTTTGTCTACATGCATAAATACCGCGGACATAGCTTTAAAATATGTCTCGCGTGTGTGTAAGCTTGATGAAAGGGCGTTTCTAGCACATTTGTATTAAGAACACTGATTTAGATAATCTAAACTATACGCGTTCTTGTAGTGCATGCTTTTTTGTGTGCCCTAAACGAGCATATATTTACACTGCGTTAGAGACGTTTGTCTCCGTTAAGCTCAATGTTTTCAAGCAACCCTGATGTTTTCTAGCCTCTCTCCTTTGCATCCGCTCTCATGTAGATGACATTGGAATTGAGCCCAGCACTGAGAGTAATTCATTTTCCATTATCTTTACAGCAGGTATGGATGTTGAGCAAGCAGCAAGCAGGGTAAGCACGCCAAGCCGAGACGTTAGGAAAAAGCAGCCTGAAAAGTTCAATTTATATGAAGCATACCGTATTTACTCGAGTAATAGCCGCACTATTTATGAACAAGACCCTTGCGTCTACTTTCTTGCAAAGTACATATACAGCCAATCATCGCGTTGCGCATAAATAAATAGCGAATAACTAGACCGAAGACACGAGTCTCCATACCAATGCAATCTCCACAGATGGTATCTTCGCGAAGACATTATCTCTGTCCTGTAAACTGCTGGAACCATGCTGTCGATCACTGTGATTGGTAATCCGCGTGCTCCGCGGAAAAGCGAACCCTCAGGTTTTCTCCATAAACAGTGCTGCTATTACTCGAGTAAATACGGTATTTTTCGGCCTTTTAGTGAACAGTTTGGCGTGTGCCTGTGCTCATCATTCGCTCCCTCTCTGAGCAAGCGCAAAACACATGCCCTGGTAGAGTGGCCGATAGAGCGCCGAAAACTATGCCTCGTGGGGGAAGGGCTTCAAGGTCACGGACATTTGATATCACTCATGAAATTGTTACCCATGAGATTTTTTACCAATGAAACCGGTTACCTATGAGACTGGTTACCTATGGTGTCATGAGGCACAAAAAGAGCATGTTTGTTACTCCTGGCATGAGTAACGCGCTCATGAGTAAGCGCGGTTGCGTATGAACCAAGCGGCACAAAAGGTACACTTTTGTGCCGCATGACATGAGTAACCGCGCTAAGAGTGTGGGTATGAATGGCGCAAATTCTGCACACAGCTTCTGGAGCACTACACGTTCCAGACGTTTGTCCGGGGTTTGGAAAGCGAAGGAATCAATTGAAGTTATTGTGTATCATATGTACAGGGTGTTACAAAAGAAAATTTACACGGTCTTTCTCACCGCAAAAATAAACTAGGCAACGCCGAACGCTCATTCTCCGCCCAAAGGTATCGCTAGAGGTCACAACTAGATGCCAAAGTTTCAGTCCGATCCGATAACTTAATCGAAAGTTATGTGATTTTCTGAATATCTCAATGGGAAAATGGCGGCCGACGGTGTTTTCGAACACACGGGGCTCTATGGCACCGGAAACGGAAAACGGGCAAACATGGACTCCATTTTCCCATTGAAATTTTCAGAAAATCACTTATAACTTTTGATTAAGTTATCAGATCGGTCTGAAACTTTGACATCTGGTTGTGACCTCTAGCGCTACCTTTGGGCGGAGAATGAGCGTTCGGCGATGCCTAGTTTATTTTTGCGGTAAAAAAGACCATGCAAATTTTCTTTTGTGACACCCTGTATATGTGAGTTTCTTTTTGCGTGTGCGTGTGTTATTTTTGTAAAATGGTGCCCCTGCTTGACACCCTTAGCGCGAACGGAACGTTGACGCGTATATTTTTATTTTACTCAGACAAAGTATCTAATGGCACTCAACCTTGCGGCTTGGGTTACTGTCCTGAATAAACATTTTCTGCCAAATTAATAGCTTTTATGGCAACTGACCAATTTTAAGACAAAAACAAGTAAAAATTGGTGGTCGATTGACTGTGCTAACAATGTTGCGCTGCGTACACCCAGTTCTCTTTGTTGACAGCGTCTGAAAGCTCTATGGTAAGCAGCCCTTCGGATAGTTACTTCTAATATGTTGTCTGCAAATGCATCAAAACCATAACGTGAGAGCGCTCATTTGCCATGCAGACTGATTAGGGCACAGGGTAAGCCCTATACTTCCCATACATTTTAGGCCAAGTTGAGGAACATATTTCTTGGTAACTAATAGGGGTATCCCCGCAATAGATATGTCATTTTGTTCCAAATTTTGTGCTCTTTCCACTGAACTAGATTTATTAATACCAGATTAAAATTTTGTTTTAGATGAATTTTTTTCTTTTAGCACTAAAATACTGGCTCTCTTTGTGTATTTAAAAATTTGTAACATAAGAACTGTTAAGTTGAAGTTCTTAATTCTAGTTCAGTACTTGTCAACTCCAATGTAGGTGGCAGGGAAAAAAAATCAACACTCTATCCTGTAAGGTTTAGGAAATAATGGTACCTATGTAATAAAAAACATTGTTTCGAGATAATCGAGTTTAAAGTAAAAAGACAGGGGAAAAACAATTTTTTACTGGCACCAAAACCATCAGAGTTTTTTGTTCAATAGCCACCAGCCTGGTAGTCACTGTCATAGTCATTTTTGCGCTTTTCGGCCTGTCGCCTTGCTTGCCGGGCCTCTTTTGTGAGCAGTCGTGCTGCTCGGTCCGCAAAGTAGATTCTAGTGCGGTCAACTTCCATCAGCCACTTGATGGTGTTGCGCCCAGGGTTCAGTCCACTGGACTTCAAAACGCTGGCTCGTGCGATGCTACCATCATTGAATGTAATAACAGCATCAAATGTTGCCATCCTTAGAGTCTGTAGCCCAACGAAGACATTCTTTGGCGCGCGTTCCCAAACAACATGGTTAAATGACTCATTCGCATTTTGGGTTCGCCCATGTAGGCATTTCTCCAGGAGCTCAGCCTGCGAAAGCTGCCGATACACGGGTTTGATTGCCCCCAGGACAGGTGCAGGCAAGTTCTCCTTGTGGACGAACGGCTTGCCCTCTGACAGACTTTTGTTGAAGGCACACCAGGTATCGGGGCCCTTTGGACAAAGTCCATGGCATGGGTCGTTGTCCGTAGATTGTAAGTGGAAGTAGGTTGCCCAAACAGCCTTTCGCATTTCTTCAAGGTTTCCTACGTTCCTTCTGATGGCCAACCCAAAGTATGTTTGCAGTTTGTCTATCACTGCATCAGTCAGTCTTCCTCGGCCAGAAAGGCCCTTTCCATCTGACAGCTTTCCTGCTTTGTTTTCCTTTTTTAGCCTTCGTAATCTCGTGCCCATCCTTTTCTGGACGTGTCCTATGCACTCCAGCTTCGAGATTTCAACAGAATCACCGTACGGCTTTTTTGCCTTCACAGCCAAAAAGGCCTTACTGTCACCGTCCCCAAGATACTTGACGTATCGCACGCCATGGAGTTCCTCACTCCTGCAGAAAATGTTCAGGGCTCCTGTGACTTCCATTCCACCACTGGTGCCTTGGTAGTTGCCTTGGCACACCTCTTTGTGCCGAGGGTCGCTGGATGCATTCTTGTTGCCGCATTTTGCACAGCGCTTTGACATCGCTTCCACATCCAACACTTTCCCGGAGTCTACACTGGTCGCAGAAACTATACCATTGTTAGACGTGTGGCCACGCTTTTGCCAGCTTCCATCAAGGGCGACTGCGATGTCCTTGTCGCCATCATTCAGCTGCACAGCCTCTTCAGCAGCCCGCTTCATTGACTCCTTGGCAACAGCCTCAGTGTGACTTAGGTGCTCTTTCTTGTACTTTGCAAATTTGGTTGGCGGTGTAGGTAGGTTTAGCATGGCACAGAGTACACTTCCTGCAGCCGCTCCTTTACCAATACACCTCAAGGCGTAAACCAGCCTAAGGTTGGCTTCATAGAGGCCAGAACTCGTTTTCTTTGAGGTCTCAAACCGTTGTGAGGCGCTGCATGCTTCACAGTTCAAACTGTAAACACTGGCAACACCTACTCGCTGCGACGATATTTCGACGAGCTGAAGGCTTCCACCGCACAGTTTGCACACACAGCTCTGTGTAATCACGCCACATAAAACATCCATGTCCATTAGAACATACCCACTGTCACACTGTAGCACGTTCTCTTCTTGGAACCACACAGAAAAACTGGAAAGCTTTGACGATGAGGAGCTGGCAGGTTCTGCGTTTGGGGTCTCAATGCGTCGCCGGGATCCATTTGCTTTTGCGAGAGGAGTGTACCGGTTTCCATGGAATTGACGCTGGTTGAACAGTTTCTTTGCCCTGGGCATCCTAACGTATCAACATCGAACGCACAGGGGCACAAAGTATAATAACTAGTCCGAGGAACGAACAGCGCTCGAACACAGGCGCATGAAAGCACACGTGGAAAAAAGAATGTGCACAGCGTCTCGGGATTGCCTTGGCTAAAGAAGAGCTGTGCAATAGTTGCCAGAACATTTCTTAGATGTCGCTGATTCCAGTCAAGCTTTTAGAACTTGCGTTGAAATATTTTGTAGGAAAAATTAACGATAAACAATGAGCGTATCCGAAAAGGGGGTGTGGGCACCCGCGACTCTCTTTCGGGAAGACTGTTTTTTAGTCAGAAATATGTTTTTCTAAAATAAGTGTGACAATGGAGAATGTGCAGAAAGAAATGAACTTCTCAAATTGCAAAAAAAAACAATATCAATATTTTTTCAAATTTCCCCTTACCCTGTGCCCTTAATCTGCGTTGGCACTCGCACATAAGTTCTTTGAAGTGTCAACGCTCACGCACATGTCTTTTAGAACTTGCGATAAACCAAGAAAACAACACCAACTATATAACTAGGGTTCGGAGTTTTCGGTTTAAACCGATAAAAACCGATAAAAGTACGCCGAATTCAATTTCGGAAATTCGGTTTTAACCGAAAAAGGTCAGTTTTTAGGTTCGGCATTTTCGATTTAAATCGATAAAAACCGATAAAAGTACGTCGAATCCATTTTCTGAAAATCAGTTTTAACCAGAGACTGTCACTTTGACCTTCCAGTCGTACCGCAGAGCCGTGGCGAAAAAGTGGAACGACAGTGTCTATCGAAACGTGTCCGAATGTATGGGATACACGGATGCCATCACGACGTTTTGGTTTATTGTGCGCATCATCGATCGGAACGTAAAGTCCGAAATGCCCCATGACTTCGCCATGTACGGGCGTGTTTTCAAACTCGTTGTAAGGAAGACTGACTTGATGCAAGCTCTGCATGTTGTGTTGTGCTTCAAAACGCCGCACCGTGTCTCTTTTGGTGCTCACAATTGGTTGATTGGCCGATTTTGACTCAGGCAGCGCTTCATCTCCTCAGCCTGCCAGTGTCCAGTGTTAGCGTTGAGAGGGCATTCTCGAAGCTCGGTGTCATATTAACAGGAAAGAAAGAGTGCGGATCAACGAGGAGAACCTGGGAAAGTACGTGCGTGTGTACTGTAATAAGATCACGTAATCCTGATATACAGAAGGTGAAGTTTCATGTTTTTTGGGCACAGGCTTCATATCTGACTTGTTTTTACTTCTGTTTTTTTTTATTGATTCTTTACAGTTGCACACATTTGCCAAATAAAGTGTCCATTTCTTTTTCAATATATCTGTGCCGTTATTATTTGAGTGATCATAAATATCAGAGCTACAAGGATCATCTGATCCGGTGTCCGTTGGTGTTTATTTTATATACACCGAAAAAAGACGATAAATTTTGGTGGGCATAAATATACGCCGAAAAAAACCGAAAATTGATTTTTAAAATAAACACCGAAAAAAGTACGCCGAATTTTGAAAAAATAGAAACCGAAAACGCGGAACCCTATATATAACGTTCGTTTCCAAGGCTGTAACACGCAAGCCAAAATATTAAATACCTTATTTATTTTGCGCAGCCTGTTTTTTGGCAGCACGCATAGGCTGAATTTTCAGCTAACTTTAGCGTGAAAATTTTCCCGATAAATTTAGCGGGGAAATTTTTCTGCTAAATTTAGCGGGTAACTTTTTGCACTAAATTTAGCGGGGAAAGTTTTTCACTGAGTTTAGCGGGGAAATTTTTCCGCTAAATTTAGCGGGGAAATTGATCCATAATGTAACACGCGGCGACGTCACGAGTGACCCTCGATACGTCACACGTGACGTCACGTGTGACGTCATTATGGGAAACGTCCCATCATGCAACGCGCGGTTACGCCGACTGCGACGCCGCTCAAGCCGGAAACGGGCACCCAAGAGCTGTGCTCTAAAAAAGAAAACCATGGAAATGAATTTCAGTAAAGTAGATTGTTGGGCTAGTTGGTTTTGGAACTTGGAACTTGGTTGTTTTTTGAGCGCTAAAATGTATTCCAAGTATTCCATGGAAATGAGTAACTTCGCAAATGCCCAGGTCCCGGTTTGCCAAGTTCCACGTTTCATAATATTTCAAATACAAAAAAAAAATGTATATATAAGGTTTTTTTGGGGAGACTTTTGCATGTTTACAAGAATATGATACATTGCGTAGGTTGAATGAATATTGATCACGTTAGTTCCAGGTTCAAGAATGGTTTCGAAAATTTGAAAGCCTCGCGAGACTTCGGAGGCGTCGGGTTTCTGTGCAACGCATGCTCGTTGTGCCATGAGGCCTAGCGCAAACGCGACAGACGCGGTTCGTATATATGCCATTCATAATGCGGAATGTAGGGAATATATGGCAAGACAAAAGGCTTAGAAACCAGAAGCTTCACCACAATTGTCCGGGAAATACAGCGTAATATGTTTCGCAACTAGCTGGAATTACGAAGTTATAGATAATCCTACTTCAGTCGGCTTCTACGGCTTTGCGACCAACTGCTCATTCTTCAGATCCCGCAATGCTACGATGGCACGGGCTGCCATTCGGTAGCGCAGTGACGCGTAGATAAATCATCCTAGGAAAGTCGAGTAATATTTTCTCGTTACCGGTCTACCGGTGATATCGGACACTAAGGAGAATTACGAAAGGGGATAAACCGTGCAATGCCAATTTATGGTACAGCCCTGACCCGCTCCTCCTTTGATAGCTGAAGTATATGGAAAAGGGAACGTGAGACTACACTACGTTTAATCTGGAGTACGACCGCAGCCGACGGTACACAAATGGAGGGGACCAATCAAATAGCGTCAAAAGCGTAACGTAATAGCATCCGCGATCTTCTTACGGGTTCTATCACTGACCTCTACTATAGGGGCCTGGATGACGCTTAGCTGCTCTCCGAGCTCGGCGCAAGTGAAGCCACCGGAAGTTCGATGCTTGTCCCGGAAGTCGGGCGTGCGCTGGGCTTCCTAGTACATTCAGTCGATATTTTGAACCATGCATTTTTGTGTCTTTGATTGGGTTTTAATACTCCAGTTCTGGATTGAATCCCGAGAATGAGGCATTTGAACTTGGGACATATTCACAACTTGATCAACTAGAATTTCAAAATGTTTACATTGAATGGCTTCCCATGATACTTCTCGGGTCCGCATGCGCCAACGTTACTAAAACACTCAGTTGGGAAACTCGCCGTCGAAACCTGGGCCGCTGGCGTCCACCGAGACCGAGCTAAATGCGACAACAGCGCCACTCTTTATCATTCGTCTGTACTGTGGTCACCTTGAGCTTTTAAAAAGCATGTTTTTTGGGTAAAAACAAACGGAAAAGACTTTTTTTGTATGAAATTTATTGGAGTTTAGTAGCAAATGATGGGCGCGTGATGTTTTTATCATCTTTAGTTCGCAAGGTTTTGCGGAACAATCAATATTGTTTTTATACAACCATGCCTCAGCGGATCTTTCAGGTAGCGCGTCCCGCCCTAGGTGTATTTGAACTTCGGATGCTGAACGCGGCGCGTCCGCCGGGGAGACGGGGGTGGCACCCCTGTAACCTCTACCGCTGTATCTGTTCTGAAAGCCAAAATAGACGTCATATGCAGTTCCTCGAGTGGCCGCTGCGGGAGAAATGGTGGCGTTGTGTTCGTCATTAGCTCGGTGCTCGGAGACAGATTGAGGCCACTTCACTCTCAGAAAAAAAGGGTGTATGTGGGTGTATCGCGCACCCTTACACCCCCCTTCGACTGGAGACACCCGGCAAGCGTAATCGCACTCCCATCACGCGAATCCTCCTCTCCCAAAGGAATCGGCGGGTGAGGCGAGGGTGTTGCCAGGTGCACCATTACACCCCCCCCCCCCTTTTCCTTTTTCAAAAAGGGGAGAGGGAGTGCTATGAGGAGAGCGCAAGAAAACAAACAAAACGCGCGCGGTAATAGAGTAGAGCGTGCGTCCTGATTAGCAGTCACTGGTTACACGTCATCCGACTGACAACCTATCGCGACAGCGATCGCGTTTCGCGCGTTATCTGGCCTTCGTGTTGCTAGGAGACTTGACCTCCTCACCTCCTGCATTCCATCTCGGCGTGCTTCGGCGGCCATACTTTAGCTTCGGCTGGCGGGTGACATCGCCTTTGTTCAATCGTGCTATTTTGAATTGCGTGTTTTTTTAGAAGGTGGTTGGACAAAGCGGATCGTGTTCACGAAGCGATGCTTGGCACGTAGCTGCAGTCACAAACCAAGATGTGCGCGCCCGATAAAGGTAAGTCTGCCGTTTACATGCACGCAGCACTCGTTGGATGCTGCGTTTCGCGAGGCATGGGGCCTGCTAGCTGGGGACGTGCTTTCCTTTTTCCCCTGTTTATATCAGAGTTTCTTCGCTTTTGTATTTGTGGCATGTGTGCCCGGTGGCAGTGCCCGGTTCTCTGAGTGTACAAACGAGCACGACATCGCAGCTTCGAGACATTATTCTTGCGTGTAGAGTTGGCGTCATTCAGAGCAACCGGGTCTTTATCGTTTCGCCAAAAAACACTTTTTGTGGACAGATGTTTCGTGAACTCTCGTTCGTCGACACTACCGTTCCATCGACAGTCGTTACGCGGATTTAGCGTTGTAGGGACATTTCGTCGTGGGTGTATCCTACACGTACTATCCGCTTCGTGGCAACAGTGTGAGGCAGCTCCTTACAGAAAAAAGGTAGTTTGTGCTGTCGATGAAGCATTCTGGCGATGAATCATCGCGTATCTATAAAACGATCTTTCGGTGAAACGTAGTTCGATTGCAGAGCAACATGCTCGTGCTTGTTACCGGCTTCGCTCGCACGTATGGTTATGCAATGCGATTTTCAGTGGGGATGATGGAACTAAGGTGGCGCTTCGGGACAAGGCAGTTAGAGTTCTTTTATAGGTTCCCTACGGGAGTCAGAGTTGCGCGTTCATCTTCGTAGCGCCG